GAGCAAGGCCCCGTCCAGCCCAGTGTCCCGTCTTCCAGCAGCGGCCAATGCCAGGTGCCCAGAGGGAGGGGTTGCAACAGGGCAGTTAGCACGTGACCCCTCCCATCGTCCACAACCGCTGGCCGTTGGAGGGCTGGAGGCACACAGAGCGCAGCGTCCCGTCCCTGCCCAGCCACTGGTGGATCTACCCTCCGTGGATTTATCTAGCTCTTGTCTGAACCCTGTTAAAGTCCTGGCCTTCACAATATCTCCCAGCAAGGAGTTCCACAGGTCATCTATCTTGTGGCAAGTACCTACTTTGGTGGATGTGCGGCTGAGCGCGCTGTCTGCTCCACAGGCCTCCGGGAATCTCTGCACGGTCCAGCCGGCGCAGAGCTGGGACCCACGGAACAGCGGGCAACGTCTGCCAGGAGGAACGGGGGTCACCGCCCCCACACTGCTGCCGTCGTCAGATCTGCCCTGAGCGGTGCCAAGAGATCACTGCCCCCCCAGAGCCTCTGCTGCGAGACGGGGTGACCCTGATCAGCCGGAAGGTTTCCAAATCCCTGGGCGGTTAGAACAGGGTGGACCTGGCCTGGGCACAGGGCAGCCCTTCTCCTCAGACACACAGCCACGCCGGCCGTGGTGTCCACTCCCCACGGGGAGAGCCAGCCACATGGCAGCCACAGGAGCTGCACGCTCAGCCGTGGTAAGAGTGGGGGAACTGGCTATCACCAGTGGTCCAGCCCATCACCGTGGTGTCTGGGTGCTTCCCAAGCACTGTGGGCAGGGCAGGCTGGTACGGCCGTTGTACGGCCATGAGGCCCTGCGAGGCTAAGGGACATGCCCATGGTCACATGGAAATCTGTGGCAGAGCAGGCACGTGGCACCCTCAGAGCCTGCCCGATGGTCCCCACGGTGCAAGAGATCTCGGCCCTGGGGCAGCGGGAGGCCAGACCGGATGGGGGGAGCGATCTCTCCCTCCCTTCCCTGCTATGGGTCTCTATGCGCATCACCGCCCACAGGGGGCAAGGCGGCTGTGGGGCCGGCATTTGACGGGGGAATCTCACCCTAATGCACCAGCCTGGCCCCGGGCCTGGCCACTCCAGGGTCACGCCCATAGCTGGTGGGCCCCGGGGACAGGGCCAGCTGCAAGGCCTCGGCCCTGGGGTGACCCACCCCCATCCCTAGCTCCGGCAGAGCCCGGGGCTGGCTACG